GTAATTACCCCATAAAATTTAGGTATAGAAGTAAAATTAATATCACTATTTTGCATTATATTGAAAGTGTTAAATAGTTTTCTTTGGCTGTGATGAATACCATTTACTTATCTTCATTTAATATTTTTGACACATTATATGGACCAGATGCCAGCGGAAATGGTAGTTAACTCGATTCTAGTATCGATGGCCACTCAAGTAGGTAAAGACAAGGAGATTATTTACCATGTGGGTTCTTCACTAAGAAATCCGTTAAAAAATGAAAAAATTCCTAAAGTGGCGTACCGATATTTCACAACCAAACCATGGATCAACAAAGATGGAAAGCCGGTTCGTGTAGGAAACATTGGTATTATGAGTTCTATGCGTAGTTTCCACAGATACATGAATATACATTACTCAATTCCATTAAAGGTAAACATGATACTTTGCAAGTTGTTGGAGAAAAAAACTAGAAACTTCGATAGGTAGATAAAGTTTGTATTGCGACTTGTTGATCTAGATGAACCTTACCTCTTTTTCAATGGAATGTAAGTGGGTTTTAGTTGATCTAAATTGTTCCTTTTCTCTGATTTGATGCGATTTGTGATTAAAAACTTATGTTATGCTACCGGATTATGTATACATGCAGATTCGACGATACAAACACTAGGAAACTGCAAAGAATATGGCTAAAAATAGAAATAGAAACCGAGATGTTCTATTTCGATCCAAAGATTATCAATTAGGATGACTACATTATGAATACACATAGTCTTTGTCTTCCAACGTAAATAAATTATCTGGACAATATAATACCCGGTGATCCATTTTCGTCGTCTATTTCTTTTAAGGGGCAGTCGTGAGAATAGCCCCAAAAGTGAGTTTGAACCGAAGAGGATACCCTAGGGCAAGGCAAGTTGAGAGAGCGGGTCCGAATCGAAGGTTGATTACGTTGTTACCCCCTTTTATTATCTTAATACCGATGATAGGATTATCATTATTTTGGGAAACAAAAATGACGTTAATGAAAGGACAACATGTATAAGATATTTACAAGAATGTCATTTCCATTTCGTTCCAACGTATGGTTAATTAATTTTTACCCCCCCCTCCTCCAATTGAATGACAAAGCCATTATTTAAAAAAATTTTGTAAACAAAAGTTGCGTTAATGAAAGGACAACAGTTAAAACATATTTACAAGAATGCCATCTTCATTTCGTCCAAACGTATGGTTAATTACTTTTTACCCCCGCACTTGAATAATTATAAACAAGAACGTGATTATTATTTATTTTTGGAAAATAAAATTTTCTTAAGTATAAGACAATAGTTAAAGATATTTATAGGAATGCCATCTTCATTTTCAATGTCGGAAGAAACTCGTAGATTCGTTTCACGATTTGGAAAATTCTTGACACATGTAGACGATTTTTGCTTGAAATATTTAATTTCCGAAATCAATCTGGTGCACGTATTGGAGAAGCTTATACATTCATTCAGACTGTCCGAGCAATTGGAGAAGCGAAGTACTTCGATTTACTGGCTTAATTGGCACGATTGCAGATTTCCTTCCATCGTATTTTAATTGGACAAGAGATTTGGTTGGTTTGAAAATTTTCTCATTTTTGCAAGACTATACAATCAGTCTGCCATGGAATGCGATCGAATGCCATGGAATGCCAGCAGACTACAATCACTCTGCAAAGGAATGCCGGCATTTTTCAGTTGACAAATTGTGAAATCTAGCAA